AAATCGTATAAATTAATTGTACTGCCTTACTTGTGATCAGAACTGATATTGTATGGTAGAGGCCTCAACTTGTGCGCAGAAGAATAGATTTAAGACGTGTTATGATATCGATATTCTATTGATTAAATTGATTTATTTGTTAATTCGATAGCACTAAGACCCGACCACAGAGCTCTCTAAACTGATGGTGACAACGATTTATTATTTGGTATTCAGGGTGGATGATTTCCAGCACCCGACATTATCACGTTATAATTGTATTCAGCCATATAAGGATAAAAAACAATGAATGTAATTTTATTGCGGAGAATTTCACACTTAGCAATAATATTAGGCAATATAACAAGCTTCTAATGACAACGAACGAAAGATAATTTCAAAATGCCACCAGTAGATATTTCAGACGATTATTAAAAAACCGCCGGTGGTCGCAACTGCAAATTTGCTTAATCCATGAATGTATTTGGACATCATTATTAGTACAGCTAGTTGATACGAGCGGCATCATGAGCTATATTATCAACAAGCCTGAAGTTATTGTATAACGCATCCCATGATACCCCGCGTATCAACCAGCTCTGTGATAATGTGATAGTAGACTATAACATTATTGTAGACTATTGCTATGAAATTATATTTTATGTTTTATGAATCTAGATTACGGCATCAATGGGGGGAAATGCCCAAATATATCACTACTGACTCATAGTGGAATTGTAGAATTAAGTATATAATATTAAAATAATTCATTCGTAGTTTCAGGTCGGCGGGAATAATCTGCAAACATTCAACATTATATACTGTAATCGAAATTTAAGTTATCCCTATTATGTGTTGTATTTATAGATTAACTGCACTGTGAAATATACCATACTCCGATACCTGCACTCACGATTATGGCTCAGCAAAGCCTGAACTAAAGATAGTGTCAACAAGACAAAAGTACACTTGAACAAAACATTTAATACACAACGGAAATCAAGTCTCCATAATGGTAGTGAGACGTCAAGCTACTATGATGATTTTTTATAAGCATAAACAATAGCTCTGTTATCATGAAATAGCCAGTGTTGATTACTATATTCTTATTATAATTGCTGGTCCATGTGTATAGTTATATACATATTATAGTATATAGATAAAAACTCAGAGATAACACAGATACGAAGTATACAAGTAATAAACACTTAGACATCGATATTATTAACAATTATGATTGGTTTGGTGTTGTGAAGATGGGAGTCATTACCAATTGATTGGCTAGAACAACTGTAGAAGTCCGTGTTTATGTTAGACCTTCAAATGTATCAATTATATGCAATTGATGCGAGTTGGCGACAGGCGCAGGCGTTGCTAGGGGCTACGGCTGCTAGCTCTGCCCGGAGCAGACATTGAACTGAATTGTTTGCACGTTTAGTTATTGAAATGATCAAGCTTTCTTCGCCGTAAATTATCCACAGTATTGACAAATAATGAGCCAAAGACACTGAATACCTGCATGACGACAGAAGGAAAACGATTTCTCTCGTCACACAATTCCGCGTTCAAGGTGAAATCGAGAGGGTCATACTAATACTTGTGTGGGGCATTGTTTCTAGGACAGAACACCAATTTAGACGAAGAAAAAAAACATTGTAACAGATGAATTACCACAAAGAATATTATTAAATATTATGTTACCATCCATACAGAAAGATCGAAGATTTTAGATTTTCAGTGGGGTGTGGAACCGGAAACGCTCTGATTCTTGAACACCTAAACGCATAGAACATGTTCGACGCATAAATATAAGTACATTCTTCAAACGGAAGTTCCTAAAACGTAATAAGGAATGAAGCAAAAAAGACACAATTTGTGTTGTGCATGTGATAATAATATCAAACATCTTTTATAAAGTGGGTCAATATCAATTATTATTTATATACATGTATTAATTGACAATTTTACTTTATGTACTTTAATTTCAGCATGTAAATACACATGAGAGTAACCATTATAATTTTAAGTCTTAACAAAATGAATATATCTGATACAAGTTAATATTTTCTAATAAACAGAAATAATAAGACTTGAATGTATTATGAGAAATGGAGTTATTTTTTCATGTCCTGTGAAGTGATGAATGAATTTTAATATAGCACGAATATAAATTCTAAACCCTACAGCATAGTATGCGATGCGTTTATGTATGGACCTTAGTGGGCGTTTTCAGCATATCAACAAATTGTCAAATCACTACAAATATCGGAATGTATTGGGAAAAGAGAAAAATTAATTTAATTTTATATTGAATTTGAGATGAAAGCTTCATACTAATTTTAATAAGTTAAAGCTAGCACACTTCGGAAGACGATTATGGGAGAAATGGCGCTAGAATGCGCCTCCATAGATTACATTCATTCAGCGGGTCATGGTTGGTCGCATAAATGTATAATTTTCTTGTATTGTGAATGCGAAAAAGTCTGATTACAAACTACTGGAGTGCAATGGTGAATGGTAGACCGTGAAAGTGAAGTTTCCAGTGACTTGAGTACGATTGTATAGTAAATGGGGGCGATGGACCACGATTATATAATAAATACGAGTGACGGACCACGACAACTTGGTTACTGGAGCTTCCTCGGGAAAGTGACAAGTTTTGCACCTTTTCTTCAGTTTTCTTACAAGCACAAATTTCTACTTTCCAGACACTTTTTTCCTCTTCGTTGTCATTTGGCAAGGCCGGCCACGAGACCATTGGGTGGTTGACCATCCATTATTAGAAGTATCAGCGAGTGAAACCAGTTTTTGTCGCTTTTAAAGCATCTTAATACCATCTGCAATCTTCTTTTTGACAATGTTATACTTGGTTAGATCGAGCCGCCATGTGCTTCCTGTTTAAAATGGTCTTCATTCGTTTTGCGATTGAATGTATGAATGCAGCCAAAATTTACATTCTTTCTTAGCCATTTTAATTGGAGCACTCTGTCCGTGGGCGTTGTTTGTTTGAATCAGCTGTTGGGCATGTGTCGTACGAAACTGGGTTTTCATATCACGGGAACGATGACACAAGAAAATAAAATTGAATGAAATAAGCTGACAAGATGCAACGTGACAACGCATATGCTGACGAATTACACACAAGCCATTGCTGTACCCGTCTAAACATATATACTGCATACCGAGGGAAATGTCAATTTATTCAGCCTCTATTTAGTGAACCACGTTCATTGCAGGCTAACATTGTTAACATCAATCTACTATCTCTCAAAAGACGTGCTTCTACGATAAAGTTTCTATCTATTCATAACGGTCACTGCAAATTACATTACAAAAGTCTCATGATGCAATATATCATCGAAGCAGACAGTAACATTTGCCATGAAAGATGCACATTCGAATTCTCACAGTTAACACTACTACAATTCCTTAGGACAACTGATAAATACATGTTGTTGTTATATCATCATTGTAGAACTACTTTGCTCAGAATGTGTGAATCAGTCATTTTCTTAACAATTGTCAGCTAAACGTTGACACAACAGTGTTCGATGGGATTATAAATTTCACCATAAATGTTGCTAAAAGGCAATAAACTTTGGGACTGACAAAAATAATAATAATAAAAAAATAATAATAATACTGTTATACTGCTTTTTTAGTTTTGAAATGCAACAGTTCATTTCCGCTGTATTATTATATATTATAATTGATCTTCAGTATTTATTTCTGTTCAGAACTACTGATTCCGATTCTCCTATGCCCCCTAGTGGTATTGATGTCAGACACTCAAAAGCAGAGTCGCATGCCTTAACATGGAGCTATTTTTGTATGCACCAAAATTGTGATTCCCCCTAGACACAGAATGTTTTTTGTTCCAATTTTCTATTCACTGAAGATAAAGATAAAGCACAACATCTAATTTCCATGGGTTTTATTAACAATTTCATACATCGCACACATTCGTGAAAAGTTTTCTGGCGAAGAAATTAGATGCCCAAAACAACACTGTCTGCATCCAATTCATCACAACCTCTGTCTGAGCTTGTGAAACCTACTTAAAATATACATCAACATTTAAACAATATCAACATAAAGTCAGATTTGTGTCATTAAAATCAAATCGCATAAAGAATTTTAATCATAATAAGTTAACCAACATAGGCATATGATTCGCATTGCATTAGAGAAATTCTATTTAAAATCAATATGACGTGGCAATGGAACACATTGGGGTCGCAAGTCAGTGGGACTCTTTCAATTTCAAATTTGAATAAAAATATAATGTCAAATAACTCAGACTGACAACCTATGAAATACAGCAAACTTATTCTAAAAAAAAGGGATTATTACGTCAGCCTTACTGTGAAAACATGTTCTTAATATATTTGACATATCATATACCGTACGTCATGGTTTAAGCACGTAATTGAGGTGAATGTCAACTACAAACTTTTTTATCGACAAGCATGACGATTTCAGATACGGAGTCAACCATAAAATATAAAGTACATTACATGATGACGTAATGTAAAGTTTATTTCATGTCATCCACTAGCATCATCACGACGTCATACTTGTGTTCATTACACCATGACGTAGGTATGCGACGATCAATGGTTATCAAGAAGACCGCAGCTAAATTTAAAGAAAAATAATAGATGGTTTATCAATGCGACTAAGTTATTGGAGGAAAATTCCGACATAAAAAAAGCAAATTAAATTATTTGTTTATAACGAGGGAATGAAATAAACATTTTTTTGATTTAAAAAAACAGTGATACAATGAAGATATTTTCTTTGTTAAAACAGTGGATCTAGTGTCACCTTCATGTAATTCGTTAATGGAACCCTGTTTAATAATTACCTCGGTACCCCATCTTAGTAGTTTATATATAGATAAATTCGCTTTTTCAAAAAAATTAAAACATTTGATCTGTTATTATTTACAATACTGCATTTTCTATTATTTATCACCATAATCAAATAAGTACCAATGTACATTATGTCAATACAGTGCTCCACTAACTCATAAATACACACAAACAGTTATAGAAAAATTTTAGCCCATGGTGTTACACATATATTATTATATCAACGTGATTATAATTATAGTAATATTCATCATTGAATCTTCATTAACATGTTGTGTATGGAAGGATGATATCGTAATAATAATTTAGTAGCAGAGATAATCCACCAGTGATTGGTTTTGTTGGCTAGTGGACGTTTTGCGAATCAGGCCGGTCAGTGCACAAATCCTGTAATTGCAAATGACAGTACATTTTGTTAATAAAGCAAACATCGTATGCAAAGTGCGATATGTATGTATATGTATTTACTCGCATCGAACTGATTTGCTAAATTAGCACCAACAGTACTACTGATCTTTAAAATTAAGTAGTGATTAATGTGCTCGTTTCGTGTATGTTTCATGGACCTTTGCATAAGAGGATGTTAAATAACAATTACAGTACATTTTGTATTAACTTTTATCCCAGGACCTTCATTATATAGGTATAGTATGCTGCCCAAGCCATTGACGAGAAGACTGTCCACGGGAGTTTCGCGTACACTAAGCAAGTAAATAATGAAATGCACACATTGCCTGGTTGTCACGATCCTGGATGCAATTATGGACACCCGGTAGATGGCTATATTTACTGCTATATTTAATTTATCATAATTGTTTTTACATCATTACACGTTTCTCCTTGATGTTTTCTTTCAGTCTGTCATCATTGTGTAATACGTACCTAAGGAGATTCACTGTTTCACTATGACTGCCAAGGTAACAAGTGACCATGCAAGGAATATTGAAACTATAATATAATGAATACAAGTAACGTCATTATAGTTTAATTATACAGTAGCGTTATCTCACCTGCTAAATAAATACACAAGTATCGTCGTATATGTTGACTACAGATCAAGTGATATCAGTGAAAGTAAATATGGGATAATACTATTTGGTAAGTTTTTAAGTTTAAGTAAGTTAACAAGTTTTTTTTTTAAATATTGACCAAGACAGCAAGATATAAAATTGATTTACATACCTGTAGATGTCACACTACCTGCAGTGGCTGTAAAAATAAAACAAAACAATGTATTATTTACTCATTTATAATATGTCCTCATAGTGCTACAGTATTAGCTATTTTTCAAAGAAATACTATGTACTTACCGTCGTCTGGAGTATCAGTAGTAGTACCTTGTAAAAAAAGTGAGATGTATATATTATCTTTGCAAACTAAATTAACAATGTATTACTTACTCATTTTTAATATAATGTCAGTATAATATTGCTAGAGTATTATTTTTTTCTTTGAAACAGATACTATGTACTTACTGTTGTCTGGAGTATCAGTATTTGTAGTGGTAGTAGTACTTGTAATAGTATCTTGTAAAAAAATATATATATTATATTTTTTGCAAACTAAATTAATAATATCTGTATGTATGATGATAATATCTATAATATGTTGCTATAGTTTTACAATGAACACATTGAGAACTGAATTGTTGAAATTAGGTGCCGTTATAAGCGAATTTGCATTGAAGTGTGTCATCATTAAACTTTAGAATCATGGTGGGAATTTGACCGTGTACGGTTGGAATGCATGAGTAAGTGAATCACATGGTTGGTATGTCTGTGTTGTCATACAACTACAGTGTACCCTGGGTGTATATACAATAGACGTATCGAATAATTATAATCAGGTAGATATTATATCAGCGTCAAATTATAGGTTATTATTCTAACATCCAACTACTAGCGAAATTCAAACGATAATTCCCAACAAATTCTAGAGTATCTATTTCCAAGGATTATTAGTTATGGATTGATTAGTCTGAGTTTCCGTCCGTGTCATACAATATCTTACACATTGTTGGACTTGAAACTCAAACGGACATATACACATGCATTTGTTTAATTATCCGATTCAAGATAGCCATTTCAAGACCAATCAAAGAAAGCTTAGAAAGAACTCCTGTGTGCTGAGGGAATAGGGATCATGATGTAATATTCGGGAATATTTGAAAATGATAAAAAAATTATGAATAATCTATTAAATAAGGAGCCACCAGTAGTCATCTACACACATAGACATTGTATACCCTACAATAAGCCTACTTAAAAATATGCATAACATTGCGGAAAATGAAATGCAACGAAAATAGTAAACAAATAAATGCCCAAAATAAACTTATAGGGCATTAAAACATTTTTTAGAAATTTAGTTAACACGGAAAACGTGAAGTAGCAAGAACAACTATGTAAATTTCTGACAAACAATC